TCCACGATATGTGGTTATCATGTAGAGTCGCTGACGGAATAGTTGTCAGGGGTTTTTAAAACATTATCCGATGAGTTGGGAGACTCATAAACAAAACAAATAAAAGACAATAGTTTTGTTTGCAAATCCTTTATTCCTTCAAAAGCCTATATTTAATCAACATTGTAGGGACACAAAATTTACTTACCAAAAACTTCATTTCTCGGCGAACCCCACTCAGATTAATCCAACTTTTTACTGTAGATTTTTTTATTGTATGAAAAATGAGACCACCTCTGGAAACTTCCTATTATTTCAATTGCTGCTGTAAATGTTACTTAAAAATTCATTCGTTTTTATTTCGACTTCGTTATTTCAACAAAGTAAACACGACTTAGATTCTCATGTTTTTTTTTATTGTTTAAATGGGTGGACGAGCTAACAGCCCACATGGTGTTAAGTAGTTACTGAAGCCCATACACATCTACAACGTAAATGCGCCACCCACCTTGAGATATAAGTTCTAAGGTCTCAGTATAGTTACATCGACTGCTTCGCTCTTCAAACCGAGACGCATTACTGTTTCACGGCAGAAATAGGCAGGGTGGTGGTTCCTAACCGCGCGGACTCACAAGAGGTCCTACCACCAGTAAAGTTATCTATCAATTGAAAGTCCTACAAGTATACTTGCCGGTAACTGCATTTATTTTCCCCTACTTACCTATTCGCTGGTAGACTAACGGGCTACTCCAACTACCCGTCCGCGCCTAGCTGAAGTAGCCCGTAAACCTGAGAGAATTTTCTAACACTAGCCCTAACAAGAGCAGTGCTTCATTGAATCTACCACCGAATCCGAATCGCGACCCACTGAGAAGATCCAGCGAGAGAAGGGTTGTGGAAGGAATGTTTGTGCTATTCATAAAGGCCAAGAGAAACAATTTACTCTCCACATTCTAATCGTATCTTTTTTCCTCTCGCAGCCAGATAAGTTTACAGCCAATCTAAGAGATTATCGCTCAGGAACATAATACTAGTTTCCAAATACTGTTCAAAGAACAAAATAAAGAAATGTACGTGTATAAGCTAAGGTCCAGAAGAGGATGAGGGGAGAAGAGGAGCTCGCGGCACAAAGCGCAGCAAACTCAGCTTGAGTTTATACTTAAAAATCAAAAACTTTTTCATCAGTCACCTTCATTCATTTTACCTTTTGATCTCCGCCAGTATTGACAGCGGCGGCCATGTGCGAGAACACACTCCACAGTGTCTATGACGGTGGAAATGGAAATGAATCTGAGCAGACAGCCAAGAGTCCTCCTGAATGCAGCCTCCTATCACTGTAGAGGCTCAAACATACGATTATGTCCGCAACTACTTGTAGTTCGATTTTGTTTTCTTATTTTTTATATATATAATTATTGTTATATTATTATTTTATAAATAAAAGTCAGCCTCTGACGACTTTTAACACAATTAATCAACAACTTTGCGAGTTGTGTTTACACCCAAATGGGTGAATTCAATAGTGCGTTCATTTTTTCTGTTTAAGTTAGATGTTAATGTGGGTAGATTTTATCCAGTTGTGTGAACCTAATAAGTAAATAAATATATAAAAATTTAAAAAGTTGTGAGAGTAGAGTAGGTGCCCGTGACAAGTGAAACTTCCTTGACAGTGGGCAGACCAATTTCCATATTCATAAGAACAGAAGCTGCACAAGTTCGATGTACAATTGTTTTCTCATCAAAGAAGTTTCCCTTCAATAAATAAAACCAACGTGTGAGCTCCGACACTGTGTCAAGATTTTATTTAAAATCCATCATACACAGCAGTCGCGAGCGTTCCTTACAGGCTAGAGGGGACTTATTTATTTGTCGTCGTCTTTGAAGACCATCGTGCTGTGACACTTCCCGCAGTAGTGACGGTCCTCCATCACCGCCATGAACACTCCGGCGCCGCACTGCTCGCCTGTGCACTCGCGCCGCAGACGGTGGATCTTACCGTTCTCGTCGACCTGGAGACAGACCGGAGTGAGGAGAACTTTGCGATTGTTTGGTCTTTAAACCACATAGATTCCATGAGAGCGCTCCTGCGCGCTCCTTTGAGCCAGAAACTTACCAAAAATATTTTTTATTTTTTTATTTTGTAATTTTTTTTAAGTCTAATTCTATGGGCATCCTCCATGTTAATAGTAGGTTGTGTAGAGTAATTGTATAATGTATATTGTGAGTAAAATTATTTCCTTACATTATAAGTTAGATTGGTTTTCGTTATCGTGTTTTTTGTCGTATAGTAGTTGTAAGGAACATTGTGTACAAACTCAGCACATTTGTCTTGCTTAGTCGTGCGCACATGGCTTATGTTGCATGCAAGCCAGATTTTTTTTGTTATTTTTTGTGTATATTTTAGCTTGTAATGTGTATTGTGTGCCTAATAACTAAATAAATAATTTGTGTCGATCCTAAATTGCCCATAACCATTAAACTAGATCATAAAGATTCGTGCACGAGTGGCAATCAACATTGTTCGAGTCGTGACGCGTCCGTGTGTCACGCTCTGGACATGTTCAAACTTGTACTTGTTGTCTTTAGAAATCAGTTTAGTGACACACGATGCTTCAAACATGTTAACATGTGAAACATTGTGAAATCCGAACATAAAATTGAAAAAAATAATCTTGGATGAATTTTAGTTAATAGGTTAACATAGTTTTGACATTCATTTTTTTTCTAGTAAAATGTAATTTAAATGACATCCATTGTAATTTTATTCCGAAATTATTGTTTGCCTTTTTTTTTGTATTCTAGGTATGTGAAATGTTATTTTTAATAATTGTTATATGGATGTAATATCTGAATTAAATAAATATAAATAATAGACACGAGCGTGCGGCTAGACCGACTGTATTCTTACGTCTAGCATCCGTGAACTCATTTCACATTTCATATCTCAAGGTGGGTGGCGCATTTACGTCGTAAATGTCTATGGGGTCCAGTAACAGCAGGTGGGCTGTGAGCTCGTCCACCCATCCAGTAATTAAAAAAAAAAAGTCATACCAAGATTTTTAAAAAAACGCAGTCTCAAACCTGAGACCTTTCATGTGCCTCAAAATTAATTGTTATTGAACATTCCCCTAATTATCAATGTAGTGAACAAAAACCTAAAATAGTTCAAACGATTTAGCTGCTCTGTTAATACTCTTCTGTGTTACATACGCTTGCTCTATAAAATTCTGTGAGAAAATCTAATTTTTCGATATTCGAAAATTCAGTGACCAACCACCGATCTTCAAGCAGTTGCTTTACTACCATTTAAAATGAACACCACAATATCTAGAAATAGCCTCTTAGTATCAATCTTGTATGAGTTTATAGTTATGTTATTGCCTGGACGCCCAAAATGTACAGAGCTGACAATCACAACTTCCAACGAACCTTGTAAAACCTGAGGACGGCTAGTTTGACCTTCTTCTTCTTGTGCTTGATCTTCTTGGGTGTGGAGTAATTCTTCTTCTTGCGTTTCTTAGCGCCACCACGAAGCCTCAACACCAGGTGGAGGGTGGATTCCTTCTGGATATTGTAGTCCGAGAGGGTACGTCCATCTTCCAGCTGCTTTCCAGCAAAGATCAACCTGTTACAACAAATGCTATTAAGTTTTCACAAGGCTAAAATAATTTCCAAAAAAATTACTTCTAACCACCAAGCAAAACTATACAAGAAGACATTTCAAAATATGAGATTTAAAGGAACGAAAACTACTTATTTTTCAATTACGTAGATGCCTAGCGGATGCCGCTGTGCCCCTGTCATTGTAGATGTCCATGACCGGGACTACTCCGCCGGCGGCAACCAGCACGTCAAAGGCGGGTATTTTTAGAGGTTTGTCTTGATTTACTAAAATTTCGTTGTTTTTTCTTACCTCTGTTGATTGGGAGGGATTCCCTCTTTGTCTTGAATTTTAGCTTTCACATTCTCGATGGTATCTGACGGCTCGACCTCAAGGGTGATGGTCTTGCCCGTGAGGGTCTTTACGAAAATTTGCATCTTCACTCTCCTGTGTAACAGTATAAAAATTCAGATATTTATCACTACTGGTTGTAGGAGAGCTCCACCCTCCTAAAATACTATCATGTATACTAATTCAGTGGTTATTAAATTAGGTGGTAGTTAGTAAAGTCCTTGCAAGTCTTTCATAATACAAGTTTTAGGTAGTTTTTCCATTATTAGTATGTATTAACCCCAGTGATGGTGGGTTGGGCCCAGTATGTGCCGCAAAGCATTTGTTCAGGTCTAAATGGTAAGACAGCCCGGTATGGTACCTACTGATGAGACTTTATCAGGACACAAACTGAGGCATGTCCGGCACCCACTTAAAACTAGATAGGCCACAATCTGATCAGCCCACCTAGCATTAACAAATATAGGTAGTTTAAGATGGTCATGTATCTATTAAAATCTAATAATAGCAGCCTTGATAAATTGAATGAATTATTTTGTGGCATCACTATGATTGGAATGATCCAATTGGAATGAATTTTATGAAAAAATGTGAACATGTTACGATGTCGATTTTTAATTCTCTTTACTTAAAACATAACTTTTACATTTTGTGTAATTTTAGACTACAATTGTCATTACATTTTTGACTGTTTTGTATTCATAATTAGACAAATTTCAAACATTAAGCATAAAGGGATAAGGAAAGATATAAAACAGGGATTTAAAAGCCTTTAGCTCCTGGAAATGTAAACAAACATTCTAGTTACACTTACTGAATATCATTCATTAGTAATCGTGATTGATTTTGTTATTGTAATTTTATTATTAAATCCAACAATAAATACAACATTAAATAAAGGCAGCATGGAGACAAGGGTTATCCACAAGCTGCTGTTAATGTTTAGTCATGCTAACCCTTGTATTAAATTGTAATTTTATTGATCTCAGAAACTCACATTTTTTAATAATTGTAATGAAAAAAATTTTCATGGTAATATTTTAGGTTTGATAAAAATCAAACAAGTTCATGTACTTCACGGTAGACTTTTATTGTTATACAATTAGTAAAACAAGTATTCTTCATTACATGGTACGAACAGTCCATAAAGATTGCAACCAATATAAATTTTATGTATTGTAATATACATGTTCATTATTAAAAGTATAATTATCACAATTCAAGAGATGTAATTGAAGCATCTTGATTTTCCCTTGACTCAACAATAAATTAGACCAACAGCACAGCATTAATGCAGCCATCATTCTCCGGATTATTCGTGACTTGAGCGTATTTACCCCACACAACTTTACCAGCCTGCGTGACAAGACCCAACTCAGAAATATTAACTTCAATCACTGTACCCTTAGTTATGACACCTAAGCTTGTATACATTTGTGAACTTGGATTCTTCTTGACTCCTATTATAGGTAAACAGAAAGTTGCTTTTAGTTCAGGATGTGTGACATGTGCCTTCTTGAACCTCAGTGCCATAGGTCTGATGAATCGTTCAAATTTAGGAGGTTTACGAGTAAAGTTCTCTCCTACAAATGTTACTTTGGTGACCATGCGTTTCCAAGCTTTTCTTTTTGATTTACCAGATTTTAGGACTTTGAATACTTCTGCGTCCGCTTGGGCTCTCACTTTAGGGATGGGGACATCCCATTTTCCAGCTTTCTCTTTACGCTTTTGTTTTATCATGTTAGATAATACTTTAGCCCTAGATTGAACATCCCTGTCCAATAGATAAACAGGCAGGGCACCTTCGGCGACCTTCTCTGTGTTCTGTTTGACATTCTTCTCTTCGTGCGCTTTGATTTTCTTTTTCATCTGAATCTTTTCATTGCGGCGTTCCTTATTGAATATTTTAGCTTTGATACCGCGGAGTTTGCGCGCCTTTTCAGCGCGTTTATGAGGCTCACGAGCTTCACGCTTCCGTTTTCTCTCCTCATAATCTAGCCGTCTACCGTAAAGCTTTTGATGGCGCTCAATATATTCGTTCTGCGGCATGTTGGTTGCTTATTCGGCAACTACAACAAAATTATTTTTATCAAAACTGTTTTGACGTGGTTTGACACATAACCTCTCACGGACTTAGGAGGAACTGCAAGGAACACCGCAACTTATGATTTAGTCGGATGAAGTCGTATTTTAATTCACACCTTCTACACTATATGCTGAAGTACGTAGTAAAAGTTTGATATCTCAACATCCACAACTCCCCAATACATTAACCACCATGGCAGCAATCAAAACACGTGCTATGTTTCTAGACCAGTTTGTACGTTATTTTAGGCCTAAATCTTTTAATTATAATAAGTACGATTATTAATGACAAAACACGCGAACTTAATGTGCTAATTTAAAATAAATGTGCATTTTTTTACGAAATATCATACAGAATTAATGAACTCACCTTACGCTGTCACCATACCACAAGGAAAAGGAACATAGATTATACAAGAAAATCGAAAGATTAAAATTTCAACAGGAAACAGTTAAATTAGAAAAGGGTTGCCAGCTTATATTCTAATTTCAAAGGTAAGGAAAGATACCTAATCGACTAATTTTAAAAGAGAAGAAGCCTACATCCAGCTCTAAAGAGATACAATCTGATGATGAACATAAAAAAGCAACTTTTTTTCAATCTTGAAAGACTTATGGAATAATACTTTTTGTATTTAGTTTTTTTAAAGCATGTACATTATTTTAGTATTTCGACGTGCTAAGAAAATAAACAAGGAAAATGTTTGTATAATAATGCGTTGCAATTTGGATAGTTGTAGGATTTTTATTAATGAAACTTGCATACAAGTAGTACCACCGTCTTTTCATTATCAACGTGAAGTAATCAAGCATTCCGTTTTGAAAGGTTGTGCAAAATATTATAATGGTCCAGTAGCTACGGAATCCCATGAGGGCAAACTTTTTTTCTTTTTAGTCAGAATCTTGGAAAAGATATCTCATAGATTTTTATGTGGTCGTCGTGAAGAAGTCCATAAAGTCGTCATGGCCTAAAAGATAAGATGCCCGATGTACACGTATCAAGCGATGCAACAGTGTTCGAATCCCGCTGGCAGATATCAAATTTTCTAATGAAATACGTAGAAAAATTATAACTTGCATAATTACTAGTGGTAGGACGTTGTGGTGAGTCCGCACGGGTAGGTACCACCACCCTACCTATTTCTGCTGTAAAACAGTAATGCGTTTTAGTTTGAAGGGTGGGGCAGTCGTTGTACTGTAATAGCTCAACATCAGGTGGACCGTGCGTTCGTTCACACATATGAGCAATAAATAAAATTATAAGATTAATTTATGTGAAACAGTTTCTATTTCGAGTTGTTCGAAATGTTAATTGTCTGGAAAACAGAAAAGACAACTGAATAAATCCATTATGTCTCATAAGAGGTATTTTCGGAATGCTACAACATCTCTGTTTGATTTTCTTGCAGAGGAAAAGAATAATAACTTCTTTTTCTGTCGGCAGGATTTATTGATTGGTGAATTGTGATAAAAAAAATCGATCATTTTGATGAAAAATCGATTCAGTAATCAACAGATTCCAAATCGACATCCCTACTACAAACAAGTTATAACTGGCAAAACTACTGCCATATTAACATAGTTTGATTCCGAGATTTGGCATCTCCTATTTGTGCCTGATTGTAATATGAACACAACATTTTGTTCAGGTATGTGGCTGAAACTCATAAAATAAGTGTTGTGTGCTATTGTATATTTTAGAAATCTTCATTTAGTTAACAGTGCCGCGCAAGTAAATTTGGTTCATTTTTAGCAAACAAAAAACTGGATTTATCATTTAACCTTTCCAGGATTTAGCTAGACAGGTCATATCATACCCAGATACAGGTACTTTCATGAATATTTTACCCTTTAGCTAAAAACGAAACAAATCTGACTTGCTAGCTTAGCGATGAATAACTTTTTGTGGTTAAAGCCTAAATAACAAAATGTTCCATGAATGAATATAGTGTCTAACAACGCATTCATCATTTATTGTTAGTAAAATTGTCAAAAAAATACTGCCCAGTGACGACAAATTCAAGTGTTTTATTGTTGAATATTAATGTAGACATTCAATCTGTCAAGCCACTTGCTGTGACGTTTATGTTGTACTAGTGTATAGTAATAAAATGATTAGAATCTGAGTAGGTACTTATGTAGAATAAATTAATTAAAACACATTCTTAATCATAATATTATTATAAAATTTTGATTATTATGATGATTATTATATAGGTTAACTATAATACGTTCAAGTTATTGTTTACTTTTGACTTTGTAAAGCTTAGCAGCTGGCCTATTTGTTTTGAAATTTGCAATGACAGATGAGAATGCGAGATAATATTAATAAAAAAATATGTATTCAAATTTCGAAAATGGAGAGTTACGGTAAGGCAATAAAAATGATGTAAAAAAAAATTCAACGCTATTTACAATAATACTGTTGAAAATCCCCATAGAATTACCAACAGACAGGAATTGTAGATTATTAGTGGATGTGAAATGTTGTATCTTAATAAAGTAGATATAGTAATAAAATAAATACAAAATAAAAAATTGTTAGTGAACCTGAACAATATGAATCATCCTCAGTGCAAGTTCCATCTAGTCCTGCTTTGTCACTGTTTGTCATAACTTGGTAAAAACCATTTTGACCAATTGTACCTGATATATACAAGTGTGCTGTTCTGGACTGTTAAAAAATTTACAAGAGGCTGCTGGTTATCCAAAAACTCAACATTATTAGTTAAGTATGTGAAATAATATAGTGAATTTAAAAATGAGAATAATCAGAATAGTTTAGATCTCCAAGCAATATTTTATTAATAAGATTTTCTATAATGTATGCACAGTATTTTGAAAATGATAAAATGTGTAAGATATTGTAAAAAAATCTAAATCGTGTGAGCATTCATTTTGATATTTAATCACTATGTAATAATTTGATTATTTATTATCTATTAAATAATATGTTAGTTTAATAATTTATTATATTAATTAATTTATTAAAAACATCAATATTATTGCATATATATCGCACCTTTACAATTCAAGTGGCTTAATCTAAAATTCTTGTTTGTTGTTAGACTCCAAAAATGTAATTGAAGAATTGTAAATGTTCAGTTTTGATTTTAGCCTTCTTGTGCATACCTTACAGTTTAAAGTATGCACTAGATTTAAAAGAGATGAAAACTGTACTTTGACCTATTTGGATTTGCGGTAGACAGCAGCTTGGCTCTGCCCCTGGCATTGCTGAAGTCCATGGGCGACGGTAACCACTCACCATCAGGTGGGCCGTATGCTCGTCTGCCTATAAGGGCAATAAAAAAAATTACAATACATAGATTACATACATATTTCCAGTAATCATAATAACGAAACAAAAAACTTTTCACTTTGACACGCATACAGAATTATTACGAATTTGTCTTAAATAAAACATGTTTTACAGAAACTTCAGTAAGCCGACGATGTTCGACTGAGACAATCTACAGCATACAAGGAAAAGAAACAGGTAAACATTAAGATTTTATAAAGTATGAAATAGAAAAAAGCCTCCAAATTCAATAATATAAGGTGGATGCCCCATATATCTACCTATTTAAATATTTCCTACCTTTCTGCATTATTTATCAATGTCACCATCTTGAATATTATCAAGACTTACACAGTGTTAAGTTCAAAATTATCACACAAGCAAATTTAAAAATACAAAACTACAGAAAAATTGATTTAGGCAATTTACTCATGAACACCAATAGTGTCAAGGATAATATTCAAATTATTTAATATCTAATAATATGTAGTAATGTGATTTTATATCAAAAGACATTTATTTTGTGAATGTTGCCCCTTCCATCCAGCATGGCTTGATTTTTTGTAAAAATTATTTAATCTTGCACATGCATTGAAAGTAGTTATAAGTATTATAAGCATTGTAATAAGTATTTCTATGTAAAGTTATGTTTTTCTCTAGTCTAATATATGTATCCTTAACTATGTATTGCTTATAATATGAATGTATGTGTATGTTTATCCAAATATATTTTTTACGTTTGGTGTATCATAGTGTTTGTCTCTTGATACTTTGATACTAAAATTATGCTTTCTATCTTGCTGATTTGTATAACCTTAAATTGGTATGTCCCAGTGTATACCCAAGTATATTATAGAAAGCCCTACTCCGTTAAAAGGAAACAATACTTTGCTTTTTGAATTGAATTCTTTGCGCTTTTTGCAAGAGGAGTACCGCAATCAATAAACGTAAAAAGTTGCACATTAAACTTATAGTTTAATTGAAACGGTCATTGACAGGGTATCGAAGCGGCTGTCGCGTCTATACTAATATTGGCTAATATTCCAGCAGCATACAAAATCGGACCGTTATTTTATTGTTTTCCCCCAAAATTCGTGCATGCGTTGTTACCTTTAACATGTGATATCAATAAATACAATATATTTCTGTATTAAGGAAAATATATCAGTTTTACTGTGCTCAGGATATTGAAATTACATATAACACGAAATATCTCTGAAACGGTAGGTTACAGTTCAGGGAAACTGCTGCAGACTTAACTTATTGATTGTATCTACCCTCTAGATAATTGTGTAGTACCTATCTACCCTCCATTTGACCAAGCTCCATATATTTGTGCCCTTCTCATTTACATAAAGATCATGTGACTCTCACTATTATATGTGAAAATGATAATGGTTTAATCGAATTTTTGGAAATCAATTTGATATTTTTTACGATTATAGAAAAAATAAATATATTAGTGGTAGTATTTGTTTTCGCGAAACAGTATTTTTTTGTTAGCCCTATTGGAGTAGAAGTACAATAATGCCAATAATAAAATGGAGATATAAATTTGATACACAACTTTTATTTTCATATTTGTCTTATGTGTCCGGTATGACGAAGGAATCTAACCGCCGGATCTTCTCAGTGGATAGTGTTTCCGATCCGGTGGTAGATTCTGCGAAGCATTACTATGGCTAGTGTTAGCAGCCTCTCCAGGTTCGAGCCCCGTGAGCTCATCAGAGTCGCTCGGTTACGGTTGGTTACGGCCCTGTAAGGCTACCAGCATAGGTAGCGAAATAAAAAAATTATTTTGCTTATAAAACTTACCGCGTAGGTGAAAGATTAATTCAACATTAATGCGATCATGAAACGCCAATCAGATCCTGAAAAGAAAGAGTAATAATGATTCCCCTGATCTTTAAAATTTACTATGTACCCATCGTGTAGGGGCTTGTTAATTCCACTTCCAGTCTTGCATTATGAAGTTGAAACTTCGGTTCATTAAGTGATTATCATCGTTACAGCGACTAGTTTCTGGGCTCTAATGTATTTTACATAACATCAAGAATGATGCGCGTCGTATGTTTGTGCAACTATTCCGCGTGTCTGAGTCATATTATCTGCAATCTGCATACATTTTACTTGTCCGAACATGTCCGTGCATTCTTTGAACTGTACCTAACCGTTCGTATGTTCACGCTCTGTAAGTGATCACGGAGGTGGGTACGGATCTTCGAGTTTAGGGTGGTCGGAAATTTTATTTTATGACTTCGTCGAAGAATTAACGTATCGTCACGGGTTTTTTGTTTGTTTTGAAGCTTGCCATGTTTATTATTAACAATTTATTTTAACTTAATTACGTGTTCCGAACAATTAGTTTTGGTTCAAGGTTTTCCTGCCTTAAAGTGCACAAAATAAACATTGTTTCTGTACTATTTGCTGTTAAATTCTATCCTTTCGACTTGTACGATCTTGTCTCGACTCGTATCTGTCCAAAGTTAATGAATGCTTTTTGATAACTTATCGAAATCATTATAAATACTCTTTGATTGATAAGTATATGTACTGAACATATGTTAATTGGTATTACAATAACGAAAATACAGAGAATGGTGAAATAATTGTAATAAAAAGACAAACAAGATTACTTTTTTTTGTCAGGAATATGACTTTTTGGAAATTGTGGTAGAGTGAGAGGATATTTTGATATTCAACAAAATGTCGTGATGATAATTCGTTGTCTCTCTATATGTCAAATATTGAACGTGAAAGTTGAGTTGATCTAATTTGATTTCTCTTGTAAATATGCTTATATAAGGTAGCACATGATGGGGATCGGAGCGATGGTAATCAATAACAGTCGGAGTCGTGCGCCTTTGAATAAAAAATTGCAATCCTAAGTTTCATGTTTCGACCTGCTCGTCGTGAACGGGGTTAATGTCCAAAGCGTTCAGCCCTCTCACTTGACGATCGACGTTCTGTATGCTTAGTACCAGTTTTTTAACGTTCTCGATAGCGTAAAAGTTAACTCAAACTTGTATGCCTTTGGAACGGCAACGTTCCAACTCAATACAAATTTGAGTTAACTTTTACGCTATCGAGAACGTTAAATAACTCGCAATAAGCACACTGTATACTGCAAAGTAATTCGCTGCTATACAGCAGCGACGTATTATTAGAAACGCTTTCTTTTTGTCAATATTTTTATTCATTCTGCAACTTTCCACGTGCACTATTCTGGTATCACGGGAAAGGCGTATATATGTCCTGCAGTGGAGAGACTGGTCGATGCTATGAACCTTCGCGGATCAGGTCGCTTCCTACCTATTGCTGCGATGAAGCAGCGACAGTTGTAAAGTGAGGCCTGCTATTATTCCAATAAAATTGAGACTCATCTCATATCTCAAGATAGACGGCGACATTCTAACTGGTTCAGTCAATGAGCCCCGGGATATGCTTAAAACTACATAGGTCTGTAACTCGTTTGCCCATATTCATCAATAAAAAAAAACATTCAGTTTGTAAACTCCACATATTCACATTAGCATTTGCATGCGTGTCATTGAATTAAAAGTATGAATAACATATTTTTTTCACCTGCTATTGTCAGGACAGTGATATGACAAGTGGTGGCCCTGGTCTCATCTGCCCCAAGGTCCTGAGAAGAGAAACAGCTGATCCATTAAATCTGTGTGTGTGTGTGTGCTTTGAAACGTGAAATGACATTATTGTATTTCGTTTTTTGTGTGCTTAGATTAATAATGATAGCTTTTTTGTGGTAATTTAAAGAAAAGTTGAACGATGATGCTAATTCTATGCCTCTAATGAAGATTTGAGTGTACGATAAAAAGAATAAAAGTCTATTAATTGTTAAAAACTTTATGTGCATGATTTAAATATCGAGCTACCGAGTTCGAAGCGGAAATAAACCAAAAGCATAAAAATTTGTCCCTCGCTTAGATGAAAAAAAATTAATTACTTTACTTAATTCAAATACAAAATAGGCAAACTAAAATACAATTACGAATCTTTCTTTCTTAGGCTTATGTTTATCACGCGGTATTATTTATATTTTCGTTTTCTTTAATTGTAACATTGGTAACCGTTGGCAAGCTTTCATATTATCAACAAAGAAACAAAATAGGTTTTTTCTTCTTTAAAATATTCAAATTAAAATAAAGGGAAATGTAATGTATAAAATGAATCTAAATTTTGATTTTAGTTCATGTGGTTATGGTCGAATTTCGATAGTTATACTGTTGACAAAACAAGAATAAATACTTGTTTTAAAAAAGTTATGAGCTGCGGAGCTGCAATATGAATAAATACGCACTGCATATAAAATAAAGAAAGCTCTTTATTTACGCAGACAACAGTAGTTAAATCGTTTTTCATTAGAGGCAAATTTTATAGTCTATTAGTTAATATTAAATATTGTTTAGAGAAGTCTCTAAATCTGCATATAAGTTATGTTGTTGAACTTTTCACTAATTGCTTTTAAGTTTAATATTTAAATGTTTCACTAAATATGTCCGTGTAAAGGTTAATGGGATTCAAGTTGCTTCATAGAATCGTTTATATTTCATTCAAATTACACAACTATATCGCTCATCGCTCGAGAAGATCGCTCAAATGTATTCACAATACATGAAATAAAAATTAAGAAAGCTTTCACTCCGGGTCATCGAACTGGCAGTCAGTCAAAATTATAGTAGATCAGCTTGAATCCTATTATTTACTTCACTTGTTAAATATAAATAGACCATGAGAAAACATACAAATGACAATAAAAACAATGGTAAATTATACATTAGTAAATTTATGAATTTCATTGTAATTTTAAGTTAAATTTAATATTGGTTTTATGTTAAATACTAAATATTGATAGTACTTATAAATTACAATCTAAGGCATTTAAAAAGAAAAAAAAAAGACAAAAGTTATTCCCAGAATTTTACAAATAAAAAAAAATGAAAAAATTAAAGGAAAAAAAGAACCAAAAAAAAATGAAAAAAAAAAATCGAAGGAGGGTGTGTAAGCCGGTGTGTGTTGTAGATTTCGCGCGAGACACCAGCGACACAGATGCAAGTATATTCGATACAGACGCCGAGATCGAGTTCGAGCCGGCCTCTGACGAGGAAGAGGACCAGGCGCCGGTGGACGAGGACACGTCGGCGTCTTTCACTGATGTAAGCATGATAAAGATTTTTTTCAAGATTGCCTGCAGATTCAGGTGTCGCAAAGCCTCTAATTTTTTTTTATTGCGTAGATGTGTGGTCGAGCTCTCCTGGTGTTAAGTGGCTACCGGAGCTCATAGAAATCTACAACGCAAATGCCGCCATCCACCTTGAGATATGAGTTCTAAGGTCTCAAGTATAGTTATAACGGCTGCCCCACCCTTCAAACCGAAACGCATTACTGTTTTACGGCAGAAATAGGTAGGATTTTGGTACCTATTCGTGCGGACTCACAAAAGGTCCTACCACCAGTGGTATCGCTATTCCAGCCCTTCGTGCCGCAAAGCAATCGGTCGTGAGGTGCTTGTAAGCAGCTGGAAGTAGCCTCGTGTTGCATTCGGGATCGCTGGTACCAAGCGATGTTTGTGTTCACGACGGTGATGTCGGTGGGGCGGCTGATCGACTGAGTTGTCTACATTCATCATTCTCCTGCCCTTTTCCCAGTCACCTGGGGTCGGCGTAACATGTTTTCACCTTCCATACTCCTCTATCATATCTTCGCTCACTCCCCTCTTACACATATCGTTTCTCACGCAATCCATCCATTTGTTGTCAGGTCTACCTCTTCCTCTAAAGCAGGGGCTCTCAAACTTATTTTGACTACTGCCCACTTTGAGGATAAATTATTTTTTAGCGCCCCCATTTTTTTACCTATTTAAAAACCACTACAGCGAAAGTTCAATCGGTGTCTCTAAGAGTCCTCCTAGATGAAATTACAAATCGCCTCCCATGCCCCTATATAACGCCCACATTTTTTTCTGGGTCTCTTACTGCCCGCCCCCCTTTGGGCCTGCAGCGCCCACAAGAGGACGTTATCGCCCGCTTTGGGAAAGGCTGCTCTAAAGCCTTTCACATTCATAGTTAAAACTCTCTTACCGACCTCATTGTCATTTTGTCTGATCATATGTCCATACTATCCAGAGTTGCCTACATGATTATTGTTATTTCCAGGGTGAAATAATAAAGACCAAAGTGCTAGAGGTGAGCGTGGGTGACGACGGCGACCTGCAGCTCGCAGACTCTGAGCAGACGGACTCGCAGGACAGCGACAGCGAGATCGACCTGTACGACTTCTGGCACTGCATCAAGTGCAGAGCCGAGAACAACGTTCCGTTTTATAGATATTGTCAGAAGTGCTTTCAGGTAACTACAGACTGTAGCTGAAATAAATAATTTAAAATTATATAAGATTATAGGGAGTTCTGAACTATATAATAGTTTTATTATTAGCTATAATAAGCCTATTCGTCTTGAGATTATCAAGGATTGACGTGGTGTGAACGGACGAGGCTAGACTAACCAAGCGAAGGCCGGAGGGCCGCAGAAGTAGAGGCAGGCCCAAACTGAAATACAAACGGCGCTGAACAGAACTCCAAGAACTTAGGAGTGATCATTTTAAGAAGGAAAGCCGAATGTATGAGAACGTAAAGTTTTATTCTCCATTTCCAGGTCCGCAAAAACTTCTTTCCTCCGCGGCCGAAACGTAAACGCAAACGCGGCACGACGGTCACCCCGGAGCTGGACGCGGTGCCCAGGACTCTGTCACAGGACTCCGGCATCCAGTCCGTGCACAGTCAAGAACTGTTCAACAGCCAGGACGCGACCCACGGTGAGGGCACTTCGCGAGACGTTGACAGTAGCGCTGAGTTCACAGGTCGAGCGAGGAAGAGACGCGCCCGGTCGGTCGACGGCGGCTCCAAGCGAACGAAGCTCGGCTCCGCCTCCGGATCCGGATCCGACTCCGACTCTGGAGGCAACTCGGAGTCCCTGACCAAGTCCGTCAGCGATCCGTCCGTGGCGATCGACGAGCCGCTGAAAATGACGAAAAAAGTAATATCGGATAGGATCAAACAAAAGCTAGACAAGGAGCTGTGCATCGTGTGCGACTCCGAACCCAAGACCGGCGTGTTCGTGCACGGGCACCTCGCGCACATCTGCTGCTGCTACAAGTGCGCCGTCAAGGTGTGGGCGCGCGCCCGCCGCTGCCCCGTCTGCAACCGCAGGGTCAGCAACGTGCTGCGCGCCGTCGTGCTGTAGTCCGCGGCCGCGAGCTCACGCCATTTCTCTAAAACTTCAACATACATTGCTGCTCAGCGCCACCGACTGGCGCCCGCGAAATGAATACCGTTATCTTTTCTCGACCACGTAACGTTCTAATGATACACACGCGACTCGATGTTTGAGAATTATTGAAACATAGACGTGGTCGGGCTTCTGACATGATGAGCTCTCGATGAGCGACGGCTTGTGAGCCTTGTACCCTCCGGCTCGCACCAACGGCGGTGAGGTTGTCAGCCTCCGCTGGCGATGACTTACGTGTGTTATTGACATTGTCCTTGTACATCCTAAAGCCATCCGTTGATTTGGCAAGCACAGTAATGTTTTGTATACATTGCGCGCGACTGGTTGTTAGTGACATTATCGTCCGCCGTGAAGTCAGTAGCTCGTTGCTGAGAGCGTGATAATTAATGACTCAGCGTCGTATAGAAGTATCGGGAAATGCAGGGTTCGGATAGTTAGATTCTTCGTAATCCACATTCCGATCTATCTATATACTGTCAAGTTAGTAAGTAACGTTTGTTTGGCAGTAAATTAATTCGGTCAACTTGTCTGTTGGTGAGGTCCACAGACAACACGACCCACGTCGTCACCGGTGCACTCCACCATGAATTTCTGGATTATCATTCGTTAACGGAATTGAAATTGAAAAACGCCGTTCGCTAAGTTAGGACGTTTTGTAAACGAAACACCTTCGGTGTGCTTAGTGCGAGCTATTTAACGTTGTCGATAGCGTAAAAGTTAACTCTTGTATGCAGTTGAAACAGCGCCCCTAGCGGCAAACGTAGGCAAATGTTCCAACTCCATACAATTTGGAGTTAACTCTTACGCTATCGAGAACGTTAAAAAACTCTCACTAAACACACGGGTCTGTGACCGTGACTTTTGCATAAAAGCTCTATAATATAATTAATTTGAGACATCGACTCATATTAAAGATGGCCATAACAATTTAAAAAACAATTAGACCATCTACCTATCTACGCGAAAATGACACAACAGAACAAGGTTAATGTTGCCAATGATTATTTTGGATTCAGAGTTGCCAGGCAACCTTTAGTTTTTAAGTATAGCATCGATAAGGTTTAATGTGTAGACTACGCGATAATTGCATATATGTACGTAGGTAGAAGTGTAAATAATTATGTACATAAAAAACTTTCCACCGAAGAAACAAAAGAGAGATAAGTTTAATATATTGTTTTCTTTTTAACTTCATAAATAAATACTTTAGTTAGGTAGAAATAGATTTTAACGGAGAAACAACGGTCGCCAATCTTTTTTCGTGATTTGAAACGTTATTGCGTTGTACTCGTTTTAAAAGCTTGTATCATCACGAGCTTACCGTAAAAATATTTAAGCTTTATGGCAAGTTTTACAAGTTCGAGGTAAATTTTCGATAAATTGCGAAATTCGTTTGGGACGTTACAAGCTTAGTTAATGTTAAACCAGATATAAATTTCTTTTTCATCTGGTTACGTAGGTTCATTTGTTGGGAAACAAAGATAATCTGTAAAAAGTACAATGCGCGTTCCTTACTTTCCTCCTTTTAGGAGCCCGTTATGTTTAATTTATTATTCGTGTATTGTGTAATTATTTTTAATGTAGAAATTTTTTCGTGATATTTTTTATTATTTAATTTCATGAAAAAATACGACTCAAGTTGAGTCTTTCAATACTATGTAAATAAATGTTTTTTTTTAAAGTGCTTCCGAAAGTGCACGGAAAATTCACGAACTATTATTTATTTCAAGAAAATTGAATCTTAAATTAAGAGCATTAAAAACTATACTAGGATTAGCGATATGAAACTATCTCAATATTTCTGAGTCGTTCTTTGTTATCCGCGTGGTCGTGGGTACGGTTCGCATTGTGTTCCTCGCTCTGATTCATTTCGATCCATGGTCTTCAACGCGATACCCATTCTGACGGTTTGAGGCGTGACGAGAGCACCCCGCCGTGGTGGTCCCCCGGGTGGCTGCGCTGGCGAGATCCAAAAGTCGTCGTCATGAGATCGCCATAGAACGCACAACTTTGTGCACTGTGTTACGTTTAACTAATATAGTTGTAAATTTCAGAAACAGTCAATAGAATATCATTTTAAATTGTAAATAACGTAAATGTCTCTTTAGGTATTTAAAATGTGTTGTATCTTCGAACGTATCTCGAGATAGCACATCACTACACGCAGAGTATATCGCGTTAAATGTAAATAATTAGTATAGATATTTTTTTATCGAGAAACGCTTCAATCATTTTGATCTTTATTAAAAATATAACCCACCATCTCTCCTACCGCTCAGAGGATCTATCATTTGTTTTCTTGTTATGTATTAGAGATTTTATATTTAAAAAATTGTCTATAAGCGTGCAAAAATGTAGAATTTAGATCTCCAGTTAATAGGGTATTTTACTATTATTTTAAATGTGGCACAATTCAACTATGCAATCAATAAGTATTCACTGTTTTTTTTTTCTTCTAAAATCGAACTTAAATTTTCGCGCGAAAACCTTAGCCGCCATTTTGTTTTGTTTATTTATTCACCATTTGCTTAACGCTAAAGTGAAGTCCAAAACGGGATTCGGTAAAAATTGTGAGTCGCTGAATCTGAGAATACGTTTCAAAATAAAAATAAAAATCTAAATTAACGTGTCGGCTTCTAAGACAGTAGGAAGTTTTGGGGTTTTTTTTGTAACCTCAGACCGGCATGTAGACTCGGTGCCGATCTGATGTGTCGCCTTAGATACCGCAACATGATTGGCATTATTTCTTTTAAAGGCAGTGTGCTTAGTGCGAGTTTTTTAACGTTCTCGATAACGTAAAAGTGAACTCAAATTTGTATGGAGTTGGAGCAGCGCCCCTAGCGGCAAACGTAGGCAAACGTTCCAACTCGATACACATTTGAGATAACTTTGACGCTATCGAGAACTTTAAAAAACTCGCACTAAGTACACAGATGAATCTGCGGCTCGATAACGGTGAGCGGTCACGTGATTTAAGGACGAGACATACCCTTAAAAAGCCGTTGCATATCTTCCGTTGTAAAGTCTTAACAAAATATATGACATGCGAGTTCCATATGCGAATAATATTAATATAATTTAAAAAAAAATATCGATGTTTGAAACGGGCGTATAAATTATCATCACGAAAAGATTATGGCGGCTACAGTTTGTCTACAGAGTATCTACTGAACAGATAAAATATAAATTAATCTGTAAAATCAATGTATAAAATATTTTGTGTATTTTTAATAATAATTGGTGTATTTCAATAGCTCGCGGCCATATGTTAACATCCGTATTTTATATTGCCGACCGTAAAATACCCTATTGTTATCTATATCCCTTTAAGTATATTTTGTTTCGTTGTGGTTTAACTATTTTCATGTAATTGTTATATTTTATTTAAAAAAAAAGATAATATGAAAGAAAGAAAGAAAGAAAGAACAAAAGATAAAATCGAAAAAGATTATTCGATTTAAAATAAAAAAAGATTATTAATAAAACTTTTTTCTTTTTCAGCATAAACGATTTTCATTTTTAAACCTTTTCCTTACAACTAACTTTAATAACTACAAAGTTTGTATGTGCAAACCGCGTCGCATATACGCATTGTTGACATGGCATTGACAATGTTGACACTGACATCACAAGCTTCATCATGCTGTTACATTACTATAGTGCCTATACAAAACTAGTTTTCTTTGCTCATACTCTGGGCTGTCATGACTTACGCGTGTGTGGTGTCCGCTCACACGGCCCACACCCACAGACACCCTCCAATTTCTACAATCCCGCATTTGCAGGTTAGCCGTCGGAGCTCCGTGGTTCTTGAGGAACGTTGACCTACACGATGACCTGGGCCTCGAATCAATACGGAAATACATGAAGTTAGTGTCGGAACGGTACTTCGATAAGCTATGCGTCAATCGCCTTATCATTGCCGCCGCTGACTACTCCCCCAAATCCCGATCACGCAGGAGCCAGTCACCATCGACACCCTAGACATGTCCTTACGGATCCCTCAGATCCAATAACCTTTGCCTTAGACGCCTTCAGCTCTAACACTAGGAGCAGGCTTTTGTTTAGGGACCGCCGGATCTTCTAAGCGGGTCGCGATTCCGATCCGGTAGTAGATTCATTCGCGAAGCAGCTGCTCTTGAGTTGTTAGGTCTCCTTCGGAGGCGCTCGGGCAGCTGTTAGCAAATCCCACCCCTCTTGGCTGAGCCTTTGCTCGCCCACCTGTCCTGGTGAAACTGAAAAGGTCTCCGGGCCACCAGTAATAGTTCAATCCTAAAAAAACAGGCAGTCCTGCTTTCCGATTTGAAAAAGACTTCTTGTTCTTCATGTCTTTGGACTCTGCAACTCCTAATGAACACCAGGAGAGCCATGAGCTCGCTTGCCAAATGGTTCTGTCACACGGGCTTAACGAAATTTCAATGATTCTATTTTTTGTCAGTTCCTTACTGAATTCTAAGCATCAGTCTGTTTTCATGCGTGCAAATTAAACAATCTATTAAATTATTAAGTCTTATTGTAATTAACAAAACACATATAAATGTTGGATCTGAATAAGTATGAAATCGTTAAATTTTACAAGTTTATGCATTTTCATATCATCGTTACCGTAAAAGTACGCTATAAAGTTTGCCGCAATAACGATAAACTTGCAAAAAAAATTCACATAGAAACTCATAGCAATGATCATTGGTTAAATAAAAAACACGAAAATGACAAACTATTTGAATTTAAATGAATGCTTTCTTATCGCCAATATCATAAAACATTCGAATTACGGTCTACAGTTTCAGTTCAGGGTTGATTAAAATTAGAAAATTAAAATAAAAGAAATTAGCAAAAACTTACTTGGTGTATTTAAATTTTAATCATGTTATGTCCATAACTCTTAACTCTTTGAGTGTACAACATGTTTTTGGGAACACTGCCTGCTTAATTAGTATTCGGATTACTACAGTTCTTTATCAACTTTCTAGACTATTCATCCCTATTAGGTAGGTATCATTAATAATATTCTATTTAGTTTGGTCTAGTCTTGTAGCGTTTTCTAAGTTTTTCCATCTCGTCACCCTTGCAA